TTTGGTTCGGAGATTTTTATTTTTCGGTTCGGTCGGTTCGGTATTCGGGACTATTGAGACGGTTCGGTTCGGTATGGTTTGGTTCGGATCTTTGGAGATTTTTTATTTTTTTAAATTATTTTTGAATGACTACCTAGTTATATTTCAATTTTTATATACTTTAAAAAAAACAACATTCATCAATAATTCATCATATTGAAGATTTTATTTTGAAATCAATTCTAGAAGTAACTCTAAATTTTAGTTATTTAATTTTTATATGCTTTAATAAAACCAACATTCATCACTACTTCCTCACTTTAAAGATTTTATTTTGAAATCAATTTTATAAGTAACTCGAAATTTTAGTTATAACTAAACTTGTGCAACTAATATTAAAAATTGAAAATTCAAATAAAATATAATATTTTTTTCTTAAAAAAATATTTTTAAACTTTTATTTTTTAAATAATTATTTATAATATAAAAAATTCAATTGTCGATCAAGTATTACTAAGAATGAAATTTAAGTGAATGGTAATATTTATTACTATGTTATATAGAATCAAAGTTGACATAAAATATATTAGTAATACATTTAATGTTATAATTCGGTTCTTAATTTCGGTTCGATACAGTACGGTACGGTTCGGTACGGTTCGGTTCGGTTCTCGGTACGGATATTTGTGAAATCTCCAGAATCGTACCAATTTTTTTCGGTTCGGTTCGGTTCGGAGAAAGTCAAACGGTCAACGGTTATTTTTCGGTTCGGAGTGATTTCGGTTCGGTTTTCAGAATGGTTCAGAATTCTCCGAGTCCCATGCTCAGCCCTAAATACAGCACATGTAAAGCATGGACAAATACACTAACAACAATAAAAAATAATTTCACCACCTTCGAAAAATTGTACTATATAATAGTTATTATTAAAATTAATAATTATAATTTACACTACATGATATATGAAAGTTACAAAAACATAAGAAACTATATTGTAAAAGCTATTTGTCCGAGTTATTTATTATAAATCAATATAATATTTATTTATTTGATTAAGCGATTGCTTTTTATATAAATTAATTTATTTTAATGGCGTAGTAAAATTCTTTGAAATCACATAAACAATTGTTATAATAAATTAATTATTTTTTAGCTAATTTATTAGCCAAAGTCCCTTAAAATTACAAAAAAATACATTATTTATTTTATTTTATGCAATCCATTAGTGACTCATATACAATCAAATCGTTATATACTATTATTTTAACCAATTATCAAATTTTAAAACATAATATCTTTATCTGACTTATAATTTTAATATTATATACATTAATATAACTTATAATACCCTGTGTTTAAAATATAATACCATTATCTAACTTACAAATTTTAGTATTATATACATACAAATAACTTATAATACTTTATTACATACAAATAACTCAAGTACCCTCACAACATATAATCCTTGATTACATACAAACAAAGTAGTAGTAGGAGTAGTACATTTGTTCAAACTGGAGAAACAGAAGAAAGGAGCATGAATCCAAGCATTGACATACAAATGGTGGCACAATTATCACAACATATAACAAAATTAATTGTTCATCTTGGACAAAGCTTTCTCGAAGTGGGCCCATTTATGGTCCAGCGTCCCGGTAAACCCGACCGACATTCTAACAAGACCAGGTGAAATTCCAGCCAAAGCCTTCTCCTCGTCACTCAACTCACTACTGGTGCTACTTGCCGAGCACGACACGAGAGTGTCATGGTAGCCCAAGCTAACGGCTATGAACCCGAATTGGGCGTCATTCTGCAGAAGGTCCATGAGACGATATGCCTTGTCCTGGGTTTCCATGTCCACACACAAAATCCCTCCATAACCGTACTCTTTATTCGAGATGGAGTTGAAAAGGGCGTGGTCGGGATGATCTTCAAGGCCCGGACAGATGACTTTGAGGCCGAGTTTCTTCATCCTGGTGGCGTACTCCAAGGCCCGTCGGGAGTGCTCCTTCATCCGGAGGCCCAGATGAGGGAGCCTCTCCCAGAGTTCGAAGGCTACCTTCGGGTTCATGGTGGGACCCAACAGCATGAAAGCTCCATCTTCAACTTTTATCATGGAATTCAAAAGGTTGGCCGGTCCACAAACTGCACCTGTTTAATTTTGACGCTAAATTCAAAAATTTCCATCATATTTATACACAAAAAACATCCAACACGTTGAAAACATCTTAAAAAATTGCATGTATTGAAATTGATCGCCGATTTGATTTAGTACACAAGATACGAAACAAATGAATATATGTAAACATTAATTAATAGTTTTGATAACAAATAAATTTTTTTTTCAATACTAATATTATTTTTATCTTATATTTTATTTTTATATTTTATGATATA